CATTGAACAACCGTCGATAAAATCCATCCTGAAAAGATTTATGAGTCTGATTTATGTCTCTGTCGATATAATGTCTCCATTTTGGCCTTTGAAATATGCTGCATTCCTGGAATATGTCAGCATATCTAATATACGGTCTCCATTAAAATACACAAAATGGTTCCTTTTAAGGGGGCTATATTTCTTATTATCAACATTAGACTGAACTATGACACCGGTCAATTTAATAGTTACCCTTTGGCAAAATTGGAAATCTCAAGTGTTAAAGGAGTGATTGTTTAAACTCATGTTTCTTTAAAAAAAAGGAAAAAAAGTTTGGGCTATTTTTTTTTTTTTCTATCTATCTATCTATCTATCTATCTATCTATCTATCTATCTATCTATCTATCTATCTATCTATCTATCTATCTATCTATCTATACAGTATACCATATACCATATAAGTTAGTTATCTTGATTAAATATTTGATATTTTCTGTAGTGTCCTCTAATTGATTATGTTGTCCAAAGAAAACAAACACCAAAACATATGCATTTTTTTTTATAAAAAGAAAAGGAGCGGATCAATATTGCCAATAAATGTTCTGCTGACTGACTAACTCATGAATCATTCTGTCGACGAAAACCGTGTTTTATAAAAAAGGATCTTTAATTCCCAATAACAACAGGTTTGAGCCTCAGCCTCTGCAGAAATAATGAACATAAAGGCCTTATTTCATCTCTAAATATTTGTGTGTCTTTATCTGGGATATATTTCTGTTTATTTTATATATATATATTTATTTATTTATTTTTATTATTTTTTATTTTATTTATTTATTTTTATTATTTTTTATTTTATTTATTTATTTATTTATTTATTTATTTATCTATTTATTTATTTATTTATTTAATTTTTATTTTTATTTATTTATTTATTTTTCTTCTCGCCCTTTAACCATTTAACAGTATGAGATATATAATGTTAATAAATGCTGGATAGCAGAGATCCAGGATTTAATTCCTGTAATTACTGTTAATAATCGTGAAACCAGGTCTGAGACGGACTCTCGAGACTCCTGATCAGGGAATTGACGGCAAATTTAGTGAACAGATGAATCTCATGAATATGAACCCTCAGGTCACACAGGCCGTTAGACTTTAATTACTCCGAAGGCTCACCTTTTCCATCTGGCACTCCTTAACTGCGCCAATCTCTCTCCTCATTACGCCGACGTTAGCGGGAGATTTACTGCCCGACACGATTCTCTGAACTTTGGAGATATCCTGGAAAAAGGAAAAAAAAAGAGCCACATCAACAATGAAAACTTGTAAATGGTTCAACAACGGCCTTTGGGACTTCAAACAGTAATAACTTCGCGGGATATTCTTGACATTTAAATACATTTAGCTGAAATTAACTTCACTTTCCCGCAAAAGTGAAGTTAACTGTGGCTGTTTAACTTTGGGAACTCTGGATAATTTGTGTTTAAAGCTGGGAGAAGAGTGTTATGACCTCTTGAGAATGTGTTATTTTCCCAGGTTTATATTATATATATATATTCAGGAGAATTTCCCTCCACACGCCGGAAATGAAGAGTCACAGTTTACTGGACGACACACAATTATGAAAATTATAAAAGTTAGGACGCTTCTACCAGAATAAAAGGAACTGACTGGAACATGTTCAAACTAGAAAATCATTAAAAAAGTGCCTGAAAAATGAAGGATTGAGTTTAAAAAGGTTTTACCACCGATTTTCTTCCACATAAACAGACGGCAGCTTTATTGTTAATCAGCAATCATTCAGCTAAACACAAAACAGAAGCACAAACGAGCTTCTTTGGGGATTAACAGCACTTAGAAAACTACCTTTAGCTCTAGAATATTGACTAATGCTAGAACAAGGAGTCGAGCAGAGTAGAATTATGTTGAATATGGAGAATACAAGTAGGTGATACCAAATAAAAAGGAAAGTATATTTCAGTAAACAACAGCCTTCAGCATCTGGAGACCAAACTTACTGTAAATCTTTATGTGGAGCTAAAGGCTGAACACAGAAGTTTACTTAAAAATCCTGTCAGTGAGTCAGTCTGAAGAGAATTAAATAAATATTAGTACTTTATTATCTGTGCATATACTGAGAGCATTTCAGTTTAGTTTTCGTCCCATAGATCAACAAAATACACTTTGAAACAGTTAAAAAATCGATTGACGGAGAGGTGAAAATTCACTCGTTAGCCACAGATCAGAATCAGAATCAGAATCAGAAATACTTTAATCTAGCATTTTAAACATGTCCTGTGCCAGTTCGTTTTCGTCTTTCGTCTCCCCATTAAAGGTTTTGCTTTTGCTCCATGCCATAGTCTTATTTACTTTGTACCATAGCCATGTTTTTGTCATAGCCTTGTTTTGCCACAGTCTTGTTAACCTTGTTTTGCCATAGTCTTGTTTTGATACTTTTGCCACAGCCATGTTTACTTTGCTTTGCTACTTTGATCATGGTTTTCTCACAGCCTTGTTTTGAACTTTGTCACCATCCACTCCATGAGTGAGTTTTTGTTGCAATAAACCCTGTTTTCTGAATCTCCGCGACTGAGTCCTCCCTCCTAAGATCACCACCTTCTGACATAAACAACAGACAACAAACTTACTGTAAATAACCGGCTTTATGTGGAGCTAAAGGCTGAACACAGAAGTTACTGTCAGTGAGTCAGTCTGAAGTGAATGAAATAAATATTTGGTTTTATGGCTAATCCCAAAGTACTTTATTATCTGTGCATATATTGAGAGCATTTTAGTTCAGTTTTGTCCCATAGATGAACGAAACACACTTTGAAACTGTTCAAAAATCGATTGACGGAGAGGTGAACCTTCACTCGTTAGCCACAGATCAGAATCAGAATCAGAATCTGAAATACTTTAATAATCCCAGATGGGTTCTGGTGTATTTTTACCATATCGATTGGAGGAGTTTGACCCGACCTACAGTGGGGGAAATAAGTATTTGAGCCCTTGCTGATTTTTCAGGTTTGCCCACTTACAAAGAATGCTTATTTTTCCTCATCAGATGGTTATCAATTTTTATAAATTCATATGATGTGATTTTCCTGGAATTTTCTTTGGGATTCTGTCTTTCACTGTTAGAATGTACATATGATTAAAGTTATAGATCGTTGCATTCTTTGTAAGTGGGCAAACCTGCAAAATCAGCAAGGGGTCAAATACTTATTTCCCCAACTGTATAATGAACATCTGGCTCTGGGTAAATCCCAGATCATCTCAGAGTGACAGCCCAGTTTAAGGGTCTGGTGTGAGTTTAGGACTGACCCTCGTTTGATGGACTGTAATGTTTGTGGAGAGTGGCCCCCGGCTCAGACAGATAATGTGGAGACAGAAGGAGGAAAACAGGATCGACAGTCGGAGATGAAGGGAAAGTCTCTGGAGATTCTCCAGCGATCTATAAACGTCGTCCTTACAACGCTGATGGATTGGACTATAAATCAGTGGCGAAAAAAATGATGAAAAATAGAGAATAAGATTGTATTTTTGATGGGTTTTGACATGAGAGTCTTCAGCAAAGTTGGTTCAACACAGGGGACGTCATTTAAAAACCAGAAAACAATGATATGGTTCAAATGGACCCATACAGAGAACATTG